ACCCTGGACAAAATCATGCGCTACAATGACACCAACATACAGGTTCCAGCAGCTGTATGGGGAAGAGACAAAGAGGAAATTGCTAGGGAGCGTTACACCAAAGAGCTCAACAAAACCCATCAAAATGTAACGGTTAGTCCATGTGGTTTTGTGATTCGACCTGATGAACCGCACCTAGGCGCATCTCCAGATGGGAAAGTTGTGTGTTCCTGCTGTGGGGAAGGGGTCTTGGAAATCAAATGCCCATATAAATACAGGGAAGGCCTACAGGGTGTGACAGTCACTAAGGATTTCTGCCTTGACAAAACATTCCAACTAAAGAAGACACACCAGTACTACCACCAGGTTCAACTGCACATGTTTGCCTGCAATGTCCAGTACTGTGATTTTGTGGTGTGGACAACTCAGGAGCTGGTTGTAAATCGCATCTCAAGAGATGAAGAGCTCTTGCAGAAGGATTTACCTAAAGCGAAGCAATGTTTTGTATCTTTCATTCTGCCAGAACTTCTAACCCGCAGCCAAGATCCTGCCCTTCAACCACCAGTGTTTTGTAACACCTGTGAAAAGCCAGAGTTTGGTAAAATGATTGAGTGTAGCATGTGCAAAAACTTCTTTCATTATAGTTGTGCACAAGTTAAGAGGAGGCTACAGAACTGGCACTGCAGTTGCTGCAGATAAATACACCTGACTCACCTGTGTCTATCTTCACGGTTAGCCATGAAGAGATATATGCTTCTATTTCAGCAGGGAATAAGTACTATTTTACAGCTACATGTTAGTGAACTGGGCTACAATACAAAAATAGTTAAACCTTCAATGTGGTGGATAAGGTATTGGGTATGGAAATGTATGTATGTAATGGAATAAGAGATATTTTAAAGTATGATTCCTGTAAATTAAGAATGAGATAACAGTACAATGTAGTATTAAGATGTAAATATTTTTTAGAAATAAATTCTGAACACTGCAAATTAATTATAAAACTTCTGTATTTAATTATTCTTTCTTACCAGGTTCTTAAAAATTCCACTCACAATTAACAACAATGTATATACAATCACAGATGATTCACAATTAATTAAAACAATTCTCAATTGAATTAGAGTGAAAAGCATATAAATCATCAGTACATTGTTGTACACACAACACTGATATTTCATACACGACATACTCTCTCTTTTCTGGGTACCACAGATTTACACAAATTGGTAAGAGCACCACACACAATCACCATGTCATCCAAAAGGCTAACTTGGGAAATAGGAATAACAGAATGCAACATTTTGAAACTCTTCCATCTGCTTATAACTCTCTCTACATGTATTCTCACACGTGACAGTTGTCTGGATGAATCTACTTCACAAGCAGGTAACTGACTCTTTCCTTTGGTAAAATTTGGTATACGCAAAGTTGATCCCTGATCAAAACCCCCTGTCCGCTAAGATTTCATCTTTGGGCTCTAACAAGTGCAAAAATCCTGATTCAAGTGTTATCTGTTTATCTGACACTCTCCCACCCCAGCCCGTGGACAGAAATGAAACTGCCCCAGCAGGTGTTATTCCCACCAGGTACTTAACAGTGTTGTGATGCTTGTAATTGGACCAGGTTTGAGCCCTGGCAGTCAAGTTAGTAGGTCTTTCTATGAATATCTCTGTACAGTCAATTATACACCTGCATCTCTTGAAATGTCGCCTGAAAGTTTTGGGCATATTTTTAAGGACAGCACCTTTACTTGGCCATTTAATAATGGATTTCAAGATGTTTGCCATTACAGGCAACCAGGACCTTAGAATGTTTGACACTGTGCTTTCAGAAACTTTGAACCTATATGCAATATCTCTGTTACTGAGCCCCAATCTCAGTTTCATAAGAACGACTAATAAATGATCTTCTAGCATGAGACTTTCAGTTCGCTTCTGCACACTGTCTTCAATTTTTGACATTAACCAACTGAAGATGACTGAAGTTAACCCAGTGAGAAACAAAGTGTGCAGCATTGTTTTTGATCGTGGAGAATGAGAAGCGTGATTTCTGAAGCTCCTATTTCAGTCTTTCATTCTCCTCTTTAAGTTGGTAAAAGTCTTTTCTTAAGTTGACATATTCAGTGTTGAGTTGATCATACTTCTCACTGAGACTGTTGTATGCTGCTTCAGGGACCATAGCCTCAGCTTCTTCCACTGCTTCCTCTGGTGTCACTGGATCATCATTAGCTGGAAGACATTTGTGAAAAACAAATGACAAAGCAGTTTGATAAATGTATGTATGACAAAAACATTGTACTGTGCATAAACATTTTGAATGTTCTTACCATGGCAAGAAGCCTGTTGCTCCACTGTTGAACATTCCCTTTCCTCTTTCTTTCCAGCCTTAGAAAAGCAGAACAAAACAGAGAAGACAGAGATTTTAGTGAGGAAGACTGCACACACGAGTTACAGCCTATGGTAACACTCACCTAGCCACATTAAGAAAACTCAATTTCACCTACCTCTCCAGCTTTTCCACAGGCCTGTCATTCTGCCATTTATAGGAAAACACAGACGGGACGAAGTCAGGGCTGTCTTCATCCATAGAAGCCTGTCCTACAAAATAAGAAGAAGTAATTAAAGCTAGTGTCAGCCTACCTTATTATGTAGTTAGCTAGCTAAGGTTATCCTTTTCGTTGGCTACTAACTGTGGTGAAAGTTAGCAAATCCAACTACTTGAACATAATACCTGTACATGACACGGGCCTTCTCACTGTACTTTCTACAATTGCAAACCTGCAACGGTTGAAAGGCAGACGACACCAACAGTGTACGTTTATGTTAACGTTATCTAACGTTAACAGTTAGCTAACTGCTAATTAGTTGTACTTTGAACAAAGTTTGCTAACTATGACCTCAAAAAGTCAGCATCACGACAGAAATAACTATACTTGTTAACGTTACAATTTCTATTTAAGTGGGCATTTAGCATTATGAGAAATATGTAGATAACGTTACTTTATCAACGAAAGACACTAGTTTATTTACCTTAACTTACCTGATATGAAGTGTGCGCTGCATACGCGAGAATTTTTGATGATCGTTTCTGTCCAGTCCGCTCGTTTTATTGCGTTTAACCACAGCTGTCTTCGGGTTTTTGTATGGCAGTGGCAGCAGGTATGCGATAAAATTTCAAATTGCCTGTACTCCGTCGATTCTGACAACACAACAAGATGACATTTTAAGCTCCTTGTGTAGCCGACCCTGTGCTGGTTTGTATTGGCCGCCTCCGGTTGTCCGTTTGTTTTGCCTCCAGCTAACGCTGTGACGTACCTCTGACGTCGGCTAAAAAAGGGCCTATAGAAAGACACCCATGTCCAAGGTACATCTGGTGGTTATCTGAGACGTGTTCCAGAACCTAACCCTAAAGTTGACCATGCTGATGTTACACAGTTAAGTGTCTTGGTCATATCCTTAACTTCTCGGCCCACCCTGGGAAACCCTTGAGTGAAGGTTAACAGGGCTCCTAGTGTCTCTGAAACATTTATTGGTCTGGGTTTCACTGGTATGGAGTTCCCCACTCCATGAGGGAGCTGTGCACACGCATAACAGCTCTGATTGGTTACTTTTCTTGAAGTGGTCATCGTGGTTGCATACCATGCATTGTCTTTCAGCCCAGCCGGGCTGTCAGGGAGGACGTGCATCTCCTCCTCTTCGGCCTGGAACTTTCCCTCAGTCAGGCCAAGTTTGTTGTTTTCATGTTTGGAAATGATGACAGTGAGCAGAACAACGCCTCCGTTTTGTCTCGGTCCGTCACCTCTCCAGAGCCATCTGTTGGTTTCAGTGTGCCGGTGAGTGTTTGGGAGATTAGTGGTTCTAGGTGGTCTCAGAGACCTCCACTCCCCTCCCTCCCTAGGAACACAAGGCAGGGGAAAGCTCAGCTCAATCACTGATCTCCATCTTCGCCTGGTTTGAGGCCTTTTGGTTGCTTTGGCACTCGTTTGCAGTGGGTGGCGTGAATCCAAGTTGCTCTTTCAGCCACTTTTACTGCTGTTTCTGTTGTTAGCAGTATCTGAAATGGCCGGTCCACCTGCGAGCCCTTTCTCCTGAAGTCCTTTCCCACAATCCAGTCCCCTGGCTCCAGATCGTGCAGTTTCTTCTCTGCGGCCTTCGGGATGGTGTTTTTGACCTGCATATGAATTTCAGAAAGCACAGAGGACAAATTAGCACAATATCTCAACATTTCATCCTCACATTGGCTGGTATCAGGGAGTTGTCTTTTTACTGGCCCAATCCCCGTGTTCAATGGTCTGCCAAATAGGACTTCAAAAGGACTGAGACCCCCTCTGCCCCTCATCCGGCTTCTCATGTGCATTAAAACGACTGGCAAAGCTTTTGTCCATGTTAAACCTGTTTCTTCACAGCATTTAACAAGCTTGTTTTTCAATGTGCCATTTTCTTATTCAACTGCACCTCCGCTAGCTGGATGATGAGCACAATGTTGCCTCAGATCAATCCCCATATCCTCCCCTACACTCTTCAGTGCTGCGCTAATGAAAGGTGTGCCATTATCACTGGAGATCTTAGCTAGGATCGCTCAGCGATGATCTGGCTTATCAAAGCTTTTGCAACTGCTGCTGCATCCTGTTTAGATGTTGAAAATGCCTCTACCCCTTTAGAGAACATATCTACCATGACAACACAATATTTCTTCCCCTGTGACAGTGTCAGTTCAATGAAGTCCATTTGCAGGTGCTCAAATGGTTTGTCTGGGGGGGGTGTGCCACCTGTGGGATCTGAATCGGCCGCCCCACATTGTTAGTTGCACAAATGATGCAAAATAGTCTCATGCAAAGTTGTTACTGCAAAAACGATTTTTACCAGGAGCTGGATCACGTGATGCTGAGCCGTCCACAAACAACTCCATGTCTGGGTTTGTTAGAGGAGTCTCCTGCAAGTCTGCCCTTAGAGAGCAGGTTTCTGCTATGACTGCAACACAATCATGCGGCTGTCCTTCACCTGGAGTTGGGAGGAAGTAGCAGGATTCAGTACAGTGCAGTAATGTTAGATATATCAAGCAACACGGTCTTGTATCTCAGCCACCTGGATGTGGAGAGATGAGATGTTTTTTGTTCAAGCAAAATCATCGACAGCATGTGGAACCAACAATGTCAAGTCTGAATAACCCACAATGTCACGTGATGCCATGGCTGCTTTTTCAGCAGCCGCCACAGCTCTCAGGCAGTTTGGCTGCAACAGAGTCCAGTTTGGATGAAAAATAAGCTCCAGGTCTCAGTCGTCCCCCATGGTCTTGTAGTGGTACTGAGGTCATGTACCCCCCCTTTTCGTCAACAGTCTGGGTGAAATGTGTGTTACAGTCGGGGAGACCCAGGGTCGGTGGAGACTGAAGAGCCCGCTTTAAATCAACAAAAAAAACACTGAATGACCATAAAAGAAAGAAACACCACAAACTCAAAAGCTTAGTACAAAACAAAATATTGGTGCATTTCAAGATTTCACACAAAAATACAATCACAAAGTAAAACACAAACCAACTGAAAATTCCATTTCGGGTTTTCTGCACACTTAAACCAAACAATCTCAAAAACACAAATAGTTGCAGTTCATTTCAAAATCACAAAAATAAATTCAGTCCAGTGCCAAAGCAAAAAAAAAGATAAATAAAACTGGTTCAGTTTCTCTGGCACAAACAAAACAAAAAGGAGGAGGTTTAATTGTCGCGCCATCCGGCAACGAATCAGTGTGGCTCATTTATAAAATGGGCGTTTCCGGGGTTTTCCACGGTGGTGAAACCTGGTGAATTCTAGGTTGTCACAAGATCTATATAATGTCTAAATTCTTACGTGTTTCTATTAAATGTTAACAAAGCTAGTAGTCTGAGGAAATCCTATCCCGTTTACAAAAAGCCTTTGTTCAACATTCACACGGTCTGTTAGTGTTTTTTTTTCCCCAGTCGCACTTCATTCATACATCTGTAGTGAACACATTCAGCATTCAACAATACTGTCTAATTACTTGGTAATCACCTGGAGCAGCAACCCCAAGTAAAATAATAAAAAAATTCTTTTAAATAAAATTGTTTTTCTTCAATTTTATTGCGAGTCCTATGACTCACACACCCCTACTTTACTGTGGGTCCCAGACCCAAAAGAACTGATGCAACAGCAGGTCCCAGACCTATAAGAAATCCACTGCCCCCCAGTGATTTCTTGACTATAGTACCTTTAACACAAAGCTTTGCCGATTCACACAGCGGCCCCAGGCCTGCCCTGCTGACACGTCTGTCACGCTCACCCTGAGAGGCAGCGAGAATCGTTCCACTTGAACAGTCTACTCACCACAAAGAGAGTGTTGCCAGCCACCAGGTTCTTTGTGGATCACAGCGGTGAGGGAGCCTCAGACACTCAGGCGTCAGGCCCTCAACGTCTCACCCGTATTTTGGCCATACGGTTTTTCACCTGCAGCTCCGAGTGTCCGAGTCCTCTCGCGTGTGTGACGAGCCGACAACGCCAAAATTGTGGTGGGAAAAAGCGTATTTAAATAAATCTGAATGAACCTCACCGCTGTGTTCACCACTTGTTACCGTCCGCACTGTGGAAGTTGATGGTCTCCATCTTCTCCATGCTCTCCTCCAGGTCCGTCTCCGTGTACAACATGTCGTCTGCAGAGATGTTACTGCAGAAAACAGGTCAGCTTTACTACAACACACGCTGAAGTACTGCAGGTTATACACGCTGAAGTACTGCAGGTTATACACGCTGAAGTACTGCAGGTTATACACGCTGAAGTACTGCAGGTTATACTCCACATGGTATACACGAAGAATATTAAATCCATCATATCCTGTCCTGGTGAGTCCAGGTCCCTGTAGTATGGGAGTCTGATGTGACTCTGGGTCCTGGTCTTACCTGACTTTGACGTAGTCGGACAGCAGCCAGCGGTAGATGGCCTTGGTGGCGTGAGTCATGAAGGTGCGTCCTTTAAAGCTGGTCTTCTGCAGGAACCAGGGCAGAGCTCCACAGTGATCCAGGTGGAAGCTGAGAGGGAGGGCAACAGTTACTGAGGAGTTTCCAGGTCCACATCAGCCCTGACCTTTATGTTGGTCTGATTTCTCAGCATCATGTCAGGCAAAGCAGTTTGATTAGAAAGCACATTTCATACACAGGTCGAGTCTGTACAGAGAAGGGAAAACAACACACTTGGACATTAAAGTCCACCTGCTAGTACAGCTGAGTGTGTGTATATTAAAGTGTTCTCTGGTTGCTGTGCTGATAAATGTTGGGAACTCACTGGCTGATGAGCAGCAGGTCAATTTCAGCCGGGTCGATCAGGTCGATGTACGGCAGAGCGTCCGTCCCGTCCAGACCAGGATGGATCCCGCAGTCCAGCTGAACCACAACACACACACGTTTTTACACACTGAGGTGACTGAAAGCTGAATACCGTGCAGCTGATGGGATTAAAAACAGACCATAATCTTTGGTCCCTTGAACTCCAGGATGATGCAGGACCGTCCCACCTCCTGTCCTGCTCCTCTGGACACAAACACACAGAGACAGCATCACTTTCATGTCTAACTGACATCCAGATGTTTCAGCCTTAAAGACAAAACTCTTCCCCCAAGAACCGTTAACAAACTAAACTCAGCTATCAAACCCAGCAGAACCAATAATAACAGAAGGACCAGCTGATGCATATCTGCCCCCAGAGGAACATCAAGCAGAACTCCATTCAAAAATTAAGCACTTTTAAAACACTTTGTCAGCAAAGGCCAAAACAAGCCAAATACCGTTATTTAATTTAATTAATCAGTTAAATTATTAACTCAGAATTTCTAGAATCCACCAATAAGCATCTGATTTTAATGAATGTTGTTGAAGTTAACGTCAAGTCTCGCGGTTAGATTTCCACGTTGAAAACCTTCTTAAATAAATAATGTTTGGTACATTTGGTCTGCGCCGAAATGAAGCCTTGCCTCTAATGAATAGTTAAGTTTAAATAGCAAGTTTAAAAAAGCTTTGGCCTTTGTTGATAAAAGGAAGATCTACTAAATTGGTGTTTTTCTGAATGGAGTTTGGTGAGAGAGCAGCAGCCACGGAGGCTAAACCAGGTAAACGTTGTGTTTGAACTCACAGCGGGCGGATGAGCAGTTGGTCACTTTCCTCCGCAGGAACCGTGGCGTCACATTTACGTTTAGACGCCATGTTTACATGAATAAACTCACAAATCTTCCACAAATACTAAATTAACTCAGAACTTCAGCTATTCCGCGCGTTGCCACAACTTTAACTCACTTCCGGCTCCTGCTGAAATACCTCCGTGTGGTACAACTGCTGGTAACTTTGGTTCCACCTTTGGGAGTGTGTTTTTCTTCTTCTTTTATGGCAGATTGCAACCATGACTTTTAAAGGTGCATACGCCACCTACTGTACCGGAGTATGTTGCATGAACTATGTTTGTTGACACAACTTCATTTCATAAAATAATTAAAATAATATTGAGAGAAAAAACTAAATCCTATTATATATATCTCTATATTTTTCAGATAATAATAATAAACCTTCAAGGCTTCACTTCCTTCCTGCCTGACTTATCTTTTGATTTAGCCTTTGTGAGGATCAAACTCAGTAGGAAAAGAAATGTACTTGAGTAACAGAATAAATCAAGACTATTTGTTGAGTTTTTGTCTTCAAACCTTTATTGAAATAAATGAGAAGCTCTGCAGCCATCAGCAGCTACTAGATGCTGCTCCAAGAAAACTTTATTAAAGTGAAAATCAGAGTCAACACAGTTTGTACACAACAAGTTCAGCCCTGAGATCATTTCACCATTTCTAAGAAAACACATTTCTGACATTAAAGGCACAATCAGTGAGTCAGATGTTAACCAAAGTGAAGCCTCGTCCACCACCAACATTTAAACCACAGGACTGGAAGTTGTCTCCCTCCTACACAGAACACAGAGACACTGAGGAACCATAGAAACAGATCCCCAAACCAGGATAAAGAGGTTCAGTGAATGTGGTGTTGAAGGTGTGGAGGTGGATCAGTGTGTCAGAGGAGACTCTGTAGAAGGACAGAGAGCCAGCAGGACAGTCCACATACACTGCTGCTCTGTTAGAGGAGGAGGAGGAGGAGGAGGAGGAGCAGAGAGGGAGGACCGTTTCTCTGTTATTGTGCCAGACAGAGTAACGACCATCAGAGCAGAACAGACTCCAGGACTGATCATTCCATCCAAAAAGACAGTCTCTACTGTTTCCTCTCCTTCTGATTCCTCTGTAACTCACTGATATATAAACTCCTCCTCTCCACTCGACCTCCCAGTAACAACGACCAGTCAGACCATTTCTACACAGCAGCTGAGGCCAGTCAAATCTCTCTGGATGATCAGGATATGGCTGCTCCTCCACATGTGTCACCTTCCTGTTGTTGTCAGACAGTTTGAGCTTTCTGTTTGCTGTGTTTGTGTCCAGTGTGAGTTCACAGAGATCTGATGGAGAACGAGACACAACACAGCAGCAGTTTATCATCAGACACATCTGAAGGTTTATTCTTTGTTTGTGTGCTGATGTTGTTCATTTCTATAAAGTTTAATGATGCATTTAGTCAGTAATGTTTGAATGAATAAATATCACAACTATCAACTTTGTATTAAGAGAAACTGACTGTGTGCTGTTTTGTCATCATGAGTCAGATTGAATCCACACTTACACTTCCTCAGACCAGGTTTTAACCTCTGCTCTCCACCATGGTCCACCCTGGAGGAAGAAACACAGTCAGAGTGATTTTCTATCCAACATGAGTCCTAACTGCTGTTCAACATGAAGCAGTGTTCCTCAGTTTGTCAGTGTGACAGAGAAACAGGCTGAAACTCATCTGTGTCAACTGTCTCCAGGATTCTTTCACTGTCTGAGAAAAGGACCTGAAGGAGAAGACAACTAATATGAGAGCAGGATGTCAAATATTGTCCTCTGCATGTTGTCCCGCTAAATAAACAGTTTGACCAGCATTCACACATGAACAACTAAACTGTTTCCAGACTGTTCTCAGATCAGATTCAACTTGTATTGAGTAATTTCTGTCAGAAACAGAGGGTCTGAGGACAGAGAGGCCACATGATGTACAGACTGTAAAGCTTTGAGACAAGTTTGTGATTTTGCACTTAATTAAACTTAAAAATTAACTTAAAAAAAAGTATTGTCAGCCACTGATTGTTTCCTGTAAGTCTTCAGCAGGTTTGCACACTGTAGCTGGTATTTTGGCCCATTCCTCCCTGCAGATCTCCTCTAGAGCAGTGATGTTTTGGGGCTGTCGCTGGGCAACACGGAGTTTCAACTCCCTCCACAGCTTTTCTATGGGGTTGAGGTCTGGAGACTGGCTAGGCCACTCCAGGACCTTGAAATGCTTTTTAACGGAGCCCGAGCGGCGTGTTTGGGATCATTGTCATGCTGGAAGACCCAGCCACGTTCCATCTTCAACGCTCTCACTGATGGAAGGAGGTTTTGGCTTAAAATCTCACGATACATGGCCCCGTTCATTCTTGCCTTAACACGGATCAGTTTTCCTGTTCACTTTGCAGAAAAACAGCCCCAAAGCATGAGGTTTCCTCCCCCATGCTTCACAGTAGGTATGGTGATGCAACTCTGCATTCTTCTTCCTCCAAACACGACGAGCTGAGTTTTTACCAAAAAGTTCTATTTTGGTTTCATCTGACCACATGATATTCTCCCAGTCCTCTTCTGGATCATCCATATGCTCTCTGGCAAACTTCAGACGGGCCTGGACATGTACAGGGGGGGGGGACACGCCTGGTGTCCCTCTCGGCGTAGTGTGTTACTGATGGTAGCCTTTGTTACTTTGGTCCCAGCTCTCTGCAGGTCATTCATCAGGTCCCTCTGTGTAGTTCTGGGATTTTTGCTCACCGTTCTCATGATCATTTTGACCCCACGGGATGAGATCTTGCGTGGAGCCCCAGATCGAGGGAGATTATCAATGGTCTTGTACGTCTTCCATTTTCTTACAATTGCCCCCACAGTTGATTTCTTCACACCAACCTGCTTGCCTCTTGTAGATTCACTCTTCCCAGCCTGGTGCAGGTCTACAGTTTTCTTCCTGGTGTCCTTCGACAGCTCTTTGGTCTTGGCCATGGTTGAGTTTGGAGTCTGACTGTTTGAGGCTGTGGACACGTGTCTTTTATACAGATAACGAGTTCAAACAGGTGCCATTAATAAAGGTAACGAGTGGAGGACAGAAGAGCTTCTTAAAGAAGAAGTTACAGGTCTGTGGGAGCCAGAAATCTTGCTTGTTTGTGGTGACCAAATACTTATTTTCCATCATAATTTACAAATATATTCATTAAAAATCCTACAATGTGATTTCCTGGATTTTTCTTTCTCATTTTGTGTCTCATAGTTGAAGTGTACCTATGATGAAAATTACAGACCTCTCTCATCTTTCTAAGTAGGAGAACTTGCACAATCAGTGGCTGACTAAATACTTTTTGGCCCCACTGTATATATATTATTGTTAACATTTGACTTTCTGCTTTCATTTATTCATTTAGCTGACGCTTTCATCCAAAGAGACTTACAATTGCTATACATGTCAGAGGTTGACGCCTCTGGAGCAACGAAGGGTTAAGTGTCTTGCTCTACATATCAAAGTTTCCTCCTCACTAGAGGAAGAGGTGGTCAGACTGGACCCTGATCCTTTTCACAAGAGCTTTTTGTTCAGGCGACACAATAGAAAGTAAACTCAGTCTCTCGTGTCTTTATTCCCCTGCAGCAAAGTCACAAGGATTTGATGTACGTGATGTGACCGTCATACGAAAGTGCTTTTGTTGGCTACACATACAGGTCTGTGTATGGCAAATCCATTTTCCAGCATATTGATAAGACTCAAGACATTTACAGAAGAGTTTATCAAGATATTGTTTTTCATGGATTATTTATATTTACAGATAAAATGCCACATGAAATAAGGATGATAAGATATTTTAAAAAACCTGTGTGTAAAATGATGATGCTCCAACTGCTTTAAAGGGCGAGGAATATGACTTGATTTGGACCAGCTAACGTTGTGCTGTAGAAAACTTTCAAATGATATATGATTCAATATGGAGAGTTTTCGAAAGACCGGTCAAACTTTTAGTTGGAAAGTGCTAACAAAGATGAGATTTACGCAATCTAAAGATCACAAACTTGGTGTAAAATAGACAAAACATAATGTTTAGAAATATAAATATATATATATATACATATACACTGCTCAAAAAAATAAAGGGAACACTTAAACAACACAATGTAACTCCAAGTCAATCACACAACCCACACAAGTGGCTCAGGTAGTGCAGCTCATCCAGGATGGCACATCAATGCGAGCTGTGGCAAGAAGGTTTGCTGAGTCTGTCAGCGTAGTGTCCAGAGCACGGAGGCGCTACCAGGAGACAGGCCAGTACATCAGGAGACGTGGAGGAGGCCGTAGGAGGGCAACAACCCAGCAGCAGGACCGCTACCTCCGCCTTTGTGCAAGGAGGAGCAGGAGGAGCACTGCCAGAGCCCTGCAAAATGACCTCCAGCAGGCCACAAATGTGCATGTGTCTGCTCAAACGGTCAGAAACAGACTCCATGAGGGTGGTACGAGGGCCCGACGTCCACAGGTGGGGGTTGTGCTTACAGCCCAACACCGTGCAGGACGTTTGGCATTTGCCAGAGAACACCAAGATTGGCAAATTCGCCACTGGCGCCCTGTGCTCTTCACAGATGAAAGCAGGTTCACACTGAGCACATGTGACAGACGTGACAGAGTCTGGAGACGCCGTGGAGAACGTTCTGCTGCCTGCAACATCCTCCAGCATGACCGCTTTGGCGGTGGGTCAGTAATGGTGTGGGGTGGCATTTCTTTGGGGGGCCGCACAGCCCTCCATGTGCTCGCCAGAGGTAGCCTGACTGCCATTAGGTACCGAGATGAGATCCTCAGACCCCTTGTGAGACCATATGCTGGTGCGGTTGGCCCTGGGTTCCTCCTAATGCAAGACAATGCTAGACCTCATGTGGCTGGAGTGTGTCAGCAGTTCCTGCAAGAGGAAGGCATTGATGCTATGGACCGGCCCGCCCGTTCCCCAGACCTGAATCCAATTGAGCACATCTGGGACATCATGTCTCGCTTCATCCACCAACGCCACGTTGCACCACAGACTGTCCAGGAGTTGGCGGATGCTTTAGTCCAGGTCTGGGAGGAGATCCCTCAGGAGACCATCCGCCACCTCATCAGGAGCCCAGGCGTTGTAGGGAGGTCATACAGGCACGTGGAGGCCACACACACTACTGAGCCTCATTTTGACTTGTTTTAAGGACATTACATCAAAGTTGGATCGGCCTGTAGTTTGGTTTTCCACTTTGATTTTGAGTGACTCCAAATCCAGACCTCCATGGGTTGATAGATTTGATTTGCATTGATAATTTGTGTGATTTTGTTGTCAGCACATTCAACTATGTAAAGAAAGGAGTATTTAATGAGATTATTTCATTCAGATCTAGGATGTGTTATTTTAGTTTCTAGTATTTTTTGAGCAGTGTATTAGATAGATAGATATGTGTGTGTAAGAAACATCCTCTATCCCAGAAGAAACCTAAATTACTATGTAGCCTAGAGGACTCAAGTTATTTATGATAATACGGCTGTGTGGTGAACCTATGAACTTAAGTCATATTTAAACAACTATTGCTTTGTGTTATATATAAATAGTAGTAAGACTTCTCTCTGTGTACACGCATCCTATAGGCCTACAAGTACAATTTTGGCTGTATTTTTGTGTCCCCCTCAAAAATTGCTCTCGTGAAATTTTATGTTTACTTCCCCCCCCTACTGTGAGATGAAACTTACGCCCATGCATAGCGCCCAGAGAACCTGATGTGGAGAGGGCAGAGGAGAGGACCGGCAACTTGAAAAAGTCCCAGTACACCAAATGTTTGCGGGTCGCGGTCTCAGACCTGTTCAGTCAAATCTATACTGCGCACCATAGTGGTTGATGGTGGAGAAGTGGAACCATCCTGTCAGTCATGCGGTGCGCAGCGTAACATTAGTTCATTAGGAAAGTATGTTCATTTAAGTCTGTTTATCTTTTTAATGTGAATAATAACAATAAAAATACATTGTGTGATTCAAAATAATGGTTGTTGAAGAATGAATTAGTGACCGCAACAGATGCTGATTTTACTGCTTCCATGGGAGCTCAGACCTCCTTATGGGAGCTGAGCTCCCACTGGCTCCCACGTAACTCCAACCCTGTTTAAAGTTCTCTATAAACTAAATTGATTGATACATTGATGAAAGTTCTCCAGCAGAGCGCTTTTTTAAATGCAGCAAAATCATAATTTTGGACTGTGGTGTCTACACGTCGAATCTAAGCTGTAACCTGACCTGCACCTCCCCAAAAATGCAACAACATGTCGCGGCGATGCAGAACTGTACCTTCTGTGAGACTCATACAGAAACGGCATTACATATGTTTTGTCAGGATGTACAGTATGTACATTTATTAATGATTAGATATATTCAGGTTTCTGCTTGTTCTGGCAGAATATCTTTTTTAGTGTAACACTGCGACCATTATTTCTTAATCAATTTATGTTGTTTCTGGCTAAATTTCATAAACACAAATGCAAATTTACAAACAAAAACCCCATTTATAGTCTTTGAGAAAGAAACTTTATTTTTGAACAATCTGTTTCTCCTCCAACAGAAAGGCTTTGAAGATAGGCTCCTTAATGTCTGTACTCGCTTAAAGGTCTGTGATATCCTTCAACCAAGTCCAGTTGCCCTTGACTTTAACCTTCTGAGAACCTTCACAGATATCTGTGATATCCTTATTTATTTTCGCTGTATTGTTCTGTTATTGTACCCCCTAGCTATAAATACATCGCTATCCCTAATGTGAAGTATCCATTGCAATGTTAAGATTGGTGATATATGTTGCTATTTGATATTATTAAAAAGGAAGAAAAAAAGACAGACAGCAAGAACTGTGATTGGTCGGCATGGTAGCCTTCAGGAAGTGCTCCGTTCTTTGAAGTACATTTTATTATTAACAATAATAACAGTCATTTTATTGCATCTCTTGACTCGCACAGACTTCACTCAGTAAAAATCTTGGCACTCCATTATTACGTTACAAGTCACGGACCAGGTAATGCAACAGCAGACACTAGAGTGCAGATGGTTTCGGTTGTTTCATAGGCTACGTCATTAACAAGCCGGCATGCGGCTCACCTGCTGCCGTGATAACAGATCACGGGTGGAAAATATGAAAAAAGACGAGTTCTGTGTGTTTTAGGCGACTTTATAAAACACACTGCTGATGGAGAAAGTGGAGCAGACAGGTGGAGAGAGACAGAGATGTAACGTTAGGTGTGTGTGAGTGTGGAGAGAAGAGAATTCAGAGACAGGTGCAAACCAGGTATTTTTAAAATGATAATGATAATGTTTTTGGGGATTAAATCCTGCTTTCACCAGCCATCAGCCATCACCGACGGCATCGTCTATCGGCCCAACCCCAGTGTGTGGATGCTACCACGGTACTTGATCAATAAAGGAGCTTCGAGGTTGAAAAGCCATTTGATCAGAAAAAAACGAAGCTACCACCACACTACTGAGAAATGTAGTTAGACTTGTATCACTGCAGCTACATTAATCTCAACAAATTTAGTAGTTGTTGAGATGAACCATCAAACACTTCTATCCAGAGCTGGACTGGGACAAAAAAATTGGCCCTGGCATTGTTGGCTCAGGCGGCTCACCTAAATTGGTGAGACACTTCTCACTGATACACCATCCTTCCATATATAACATGTGTACCTACTGTACACAAACAAGCCGAGTGGTATGTGCCATGGATAAGTGTACCAGTGCAAGTGAATCAGTGTACTCATATGTTATAATCATCAACCTGAATTGAAGTAATCATCATCACTGTCACTACAGCATGGCACACATCCTACCCAAGGGCTTCACTTTGTGTTGAACAGTGGTGGGGACATTTAAGGGCTCAGATTAGGGGGGTGACGACACACTTTGCCCATGAGATGTGACATTGCACAAGATTGGGGTCACGAGAACAAGACAAGAATATATTTGAATACTATTTTGATCATTAAACACTTAATTTCCTGCATTCTGGGGATATTTTCTGCACCAATTTATGGTGGAATGTCTTTATTTATGTAAAGGGAAGCACAAATTCAGTTGGCAAGTGATGATTCAGAATATAAAAATGTAATAGAATAATGCAGTAATCTGTAGCTCTTTTTTAGCTTAAGTTAGTTTTTTTGGACAACGCAGATGTTTCTTCTATGTTTTTATTGCATTGCTGGTTTTCAGAATAGTGCAAATAAACCTTTCTCAAAGCATTTTCATTTGTTAATTAACATTTCTTAACATTAACATTTTTAACAAATGCCTTCAAAAAGTGGTGGGGACATGTCCCCAGCGTCCCCAGTGTAAATGACACTATGACCCTCCCTCCCTGCTCACTCCCTACAGGCTGAGCAACTCCCTGCTTACCGCTTCACCTCCACTCTCCTCCTGCTAACATATCGGTTATTTTGCGCATTTGGTGGCATCCATCTGCAGAATTTAATTTTATTTGGCCCACAACTCAAGAAACAGAAGGCAGAGGAGGGGGGGGTTTGTAAGAGATGTGATTGGGCCAATGTCAGTATAGAAAATTACCCAATGTGCTGCGGTACATGCTTTATGGGCCGACCGTTGGCCCATTTTTTAAAACAGTTGAATAAATAAGTAATTTATGTTACACTGGCCCCAAAGTTTCGTCGGCCCACAAGGCATTTACCTGGTATGCCAGATTACCAGTCCACCCCTGCTTCTATCCATAGAGAAATGCTGCAAGCAGGTCTCACATTAGAATGATTTTACATCCAACTTTCTGATGTTTCTAATGGTTTCCAATCGATAAGACTTCTGGAGAGCCGTGTGTTTCCTATCTCAGGCCTACTCACTGCTCTGAACAGAATGAGGAGGAATAAGAAGTCCTTCATGATGATGGACTCCAGTAGACTGACATAAAATAACAGAAATTAGAGACACCTGCAGTGTGTGAGCTCTTGCTGTCTGTCCAAACCTGAGAGTGTCCAGTCTCCAGTGTGGCTCCTCCAGTCCAGCAGACAGCAACTTCACCCCTGACTCTCCTGGATGATTGTAGCTCAGGTCCAGCTCTCTCAGATGGGAGGGGTTGGAGCTCAGAGCTGAGGCCAGATAAGCACAGCCTTCCTCTGTGATCAGACAGCCTGACAGCCTGGAATCAGGAAAACATCATAAACTCTGTGTTTTAGAAAATCATGTCAGCAGGAAAATCCTACAGACCATTTTCACTAACATGAACCTAAAACCAGATGAAGTGGATTTAAACAAAACAGCCCTAATACTGACCTGAGAGTTTCCAGTGTACAGTGTGGACTCTCGAGTCCAGCAGACAGCAGCTTCACTCCTGAATCCTGCAGGTTGTTGTTACTCAGGTCCAGCTCTCTCAGACTAGAGGACTGGGAGCTCAGAGCTGAGGACAGAGCTTCACAGCTTCTCTCTGAGAGGTTACAGCCACTCAACCTGAAAAGGGATTAGCAATGGACACAAACTAAATGATTTATTTGTCAAATATAAAGTTAAGCATTTTTGAATTTGCACATTCATAGATGCACCTACAGAACTTTGTTGGAGGCTTTGACCACTGGCAGCAGCCTCAGAAGAACCTCCTCTGAAGCAGAGTATTTCTTCAGGTCAAACACGTCCAGATCTTTTTCTGATGACAGTAAGATGAAGCCCAGAGCTGACCACTGAGCAGGAGAGAGTTTATCTGTGGAGAGACTTCCTGAACTCAGGGACTGTTGGATCTCCTCCACTAGAGAACGATCATTCAGTTCATTCAGACAGTGGAACAGATTGATGCTTCTCTCTGGAGACAGATTCTCACTGATCTTCTTCTTGATGTACTCAACTGTTTCCAGATTGGTCTTTTGAGCTACTTCCTGTCTGTGTCAGCAGACCTCGTAGGAGAGTCTGATTGGTCTGCAGTGAGAGACCCAGGAGGAAGCGGAGGAACAAGTCCAGGTGTCCATTTGGACTCTGTAAGGCCTTGTCCACAGCACTCTGGTAGAGATGTGTTAGTTTAAGTTTGTCTCTGAAGACTTTAGACCACAAGGAGGTTGTTTGTTCTTCTGCCAGCAGATTGACACCAGAGTTGATGAAGGTCAGATGGACATGAAGAGCAGCCAGAAACTCCTGAACGCTCAGATGGACGAAGCAGAACACCTTGTCCTGGTACAGCCCTCTCTCCTCTTTAAAGATCTGTGTGAACACTCCTGAGTACACTGAGGCTGCTCTGATATCGATGCCACACTCTGTCAGGTCGGATTCATAGAAGATCAGGTTTCCTTTCTGCAGCTGCTCAAAAGCCAGTTTTCCCAGAGACTCAATCATCTTCCTGCTCTCTGGACTCCAGGTTTGGATCCATCTCAGCTCCTCCATCATACTTGACGTTCTTTAGTTTGGACTGAACCACCAGGAAGTGGATGTACATCCCAGTTTAGGGTCTTGGGCAGCTCTCCTCCCTCTCTGGTCTCCAACACCTCCTCCAGAACTGTAGCAGTGATCCAGCAGAAGACTGGGATGTGGCACATGATGTGGAGGCTTCGTGATGTCTTGATGTGGGAGATGATTCTGCTGGCCTGCTCCTCATCTCTGAACCTCTTCCTGAAGTACTCCTCCTTCTGTGGGTCAGTGAACCCTCTGACCTCTGTCACCATGTCAACACACTCAGGAGGGATCTGATTGGCTGCTGCAGGTCGTGTGGTTATCCAGAGGCGAGCAGAGGGAAGCAGGTTCCCCCTGATGAGGTTTGTCAGCAGCACATCCACTGAGGTGGACTCTGTAACATCAGTCAGGACCTCATTGTTGTGGAAGTCCAGAGGAAGTCGACACTCATCCAGACCGTCAAAGATGAACACAACCTGGAACTCTTCAAAGCTGCAGATTCCTGCTTCTTTGGTTTCAGTAAAGAAGTGATGAACAAGTTCCACCAAGCTGTACTTTTTCTCTTTCAGCACATTCAGCTCTCTGAAAGTGAATGGAAATGTGAACTGTATGTCCTGGTTGGCTTTGTCTTCAGCCCAGTCCAGAGTGAACTTCTGTGTTAAGACTGTTTTCCCAATGCCAGCCACTCCCTTTGTCATCACTGTTCTGATTGGTTCATCTCTTCCAGGTGAGGCTTTAAAGATGTCTTCTTGTCTGATGGTTGTTTCTGGTCTGTCTGGTTTCCTGGATGCTGTTTCAATCTGTCTGACCTCATGTTCATCATTGACCTCTGCAGTCCCTCCCTCTGTGATGTAGAGCTCTGTGTAGATCTGGTTCAGAAGGGTTGGGTTTCCTGCTTTAGCAATCCCCTCAAACACACACTGGAACTTCTTCTTCAGGTTAGACTTGAGTTTACGTCGGCACACTGCAGCAGCAGTTCCTGAATGAAGAAACAAGAAATGTGATTAATAAGTGGATGCTGCAGTAAATCTGATAAATGTAAACTTTAAGACATCAAGATGGTATTTATTTTCCTCCTCCATGAAATCTCTTCAGCTCATCAGCTGTGAACAGTTTCTGAGTTTCAGCCCAGAAGAATTCATAGATCTGATCCAAATGTGTGCATCATATTAACAGCAGAGTTTGAAATGGAAACTTCTCCCATGTTGCCTCCATTTCCTCTTTCCATCATGTTAAATCTGTTCAAATCCTCTTACTGCTCTGCAGACGCTCAGCCAGCTCCTCCTGCTTCATTCTCCTCAGGAAGTGCAGTGTGATCTTCAGAAATGCCTCTCTGCTGCTCCTCCTCTGCTCCTCCTCACCGTCCAACACCTCCTCATCCTCCCTCCCTAAGCATGCTGGGTAATCTGGACTCAGAACTCTCTGGAACTTCTTCACCTCGTTCTTCACAAACCTGCCAATGTTTTCCTGGAGCAGCTGGAACAGAAGAAAATGTAAAGTTGAACTGGTAGAAGTCAACATCAGATCATCTGTGACAGACAGAAAGCCTGCTGGTCTGCAGAGTGCAGCATGGAGACTGGATCAGAATGCTGCTTCACTATTTACTTTGTGGCTGTTGTAATTAGCAGTAGTAGCTGAGCTTGTACATTTACACACCATAAATATGGAGTCCAGGTCTGTTTGATGCTGCTGGGCAGACTGACCACTGGGAACCTCTGAGCTCTGCTGATCAACTCTGTGAAGAAATATGATGATTTGAACATATAATGACAAACAGTGTTACATGTGCTGTGTTATATCTGGTAGAAACAGATCCTCATACACCTATACCAGATCTTGGTATAAAAATGTATGATCTGCTCACTTTCCATGGAAACACCGCTGGGTGCAGGGTAGACTGGACAGGAGAAAATGCTGCTGTTTTACTCGTCCAGCTGTGTCTCAGTGGACATCAGCGGACGAGGAGGCTGCTGAGGTCCTACTGGACTCTAACTGGACTTACAGTTACAGTAAGCAGCAGACAAAAGGGCATGCTCATACTTTTAATATTTTTACTTTCTCATGTGTTTGACATTTGTTTTGCACTGTTCTTTGAACCTGGTTCATTTCTGTGCTGCTGATGTGACATGAGAATTTCCCTCTGGGAATAAATAAAGAGTCTATTATTATTTTTAATTAACAAAAAACAGTGCTGAACCAAGACCTACCTGAGAGCTCTTTTTAGGAGAGTCAACAAAACAACACAAACATTTAAGATTCTTACTTTTGTTCAGCATCATTATGTCCAGCTTTGAAGTGAACAGGGACAAGAGGAGGCTCCATAGACAATGTTCTTATACATTCTCAAACCTGCATCCAGCTGTTTGTGGATTTTAACTGTGGTTTTGATATTTGGACTAAGATCTGCAAAATGTGAGACCAGTTTGAAAAAAGTGAAGAGTTAAGAACATGAAGTGATCAAAACAAAGACACCAAACCTCATCTCAGGAGAGACACAAACATTTAACATGCTGACCTTTGATCAGCAGAGTGGTGTCCACCTTTGAAGTCAATGGGTTTGCCCATAGACCAGTCACTCTTGATGGACACACAGCTGGGTCCAGGTCCAGGTCCAGGTCCAGGTCCAGCAGAGTCTGGTCCCTGCTGCTGCTCTGGGCTTCAACACAACACACACAGAGCTTTGAGAGTGAATAATGATGGTGGAGTGATTTGAGTCCTGGACAGTTAGAGATCCTCATCTCACCTCTGAGCTTTGGTCTGGCTGTCATGTTCCCCACACAGAGTGCTTTTAGAGGGAGGGACTCCCTCCTCTCTGTCCTCACACTGATTCATAGCAGAGCCCACACCTTCACACAAACACAACAACATGCTGAGAGAGCTGCACTCATTCATTACAACAAGCTTTACATCTCAGGACACTTTAGTTCTCCTTCCTCTCAGTAACATGACACAAATATTCAGGGTCCACAGAAACCTTGTTGGAGCCCTAAACAGGATCTGATGACCCCAAAATGTGTTACACAGCCCCCAGATTCACCCAGAGGTTCAGTATGTTGACCACAAAATATATCAGATGTATTAGACTGTCAAGATTTGTTACAGTACACACAAACATCATGGTTTAAATCCTGATCCTGGTTATCAGACATTTACAGATTCCTCTGGTTGGATTCTTCTGAATTCACTTCAGGTCAACTTCTCACCCAGTGCATGCTGGGAGTAGCTTCATCCCCCTGAGACCTTTTTAAAACAGCTGGACTTTAACTCGTGCAGCTGGTTAACAGCTGTGATGAAATTAAACTTTATTTTTTAAATGACAATCGGAGCTCTGTAGAAGTTATTTTTTGTAAATAAACTTGTTTTTATCTGCATTTTGTAATACAATGTAAACTCCAGATTTATATGTTGGTTCTTTTTAGATCAGCAGTGTTTGTACATATTTAACACAATAAAGTGTCAGTTAAACAGAAACCTGAGATTACTGCTCATTTAGGGTTCCCACGCGTCCTGGAAAACAGCTGACCAATTATCCAGTCATGGAAAACTCATGGAAAATAAGAGAAACTAAAATGGTCTGGAAAATTATTTTAACATTATGTTGCAGCAGCGTTGTGAACACACCTCTGAGTCAGGTCACATGCAGCACAGGTTGGTGACATTAATTCTAGTGAAAGTTTCATGATCCTCCAAAGGTAAATATTAGTCGCTGCTGGTGCTAACTGTGGTAGTTTTATCAGGTTTAGAACTTTTCTTCTCAGCTGGTTTTAAACGGGTGAATAATGTTAAACACTATCTTGATTTGCCTGCAAAGGTTTAAGGTTTGTGTTTCAGCTGTGGCGAGGAGCGATGGGCTCAGATGTGTTATTGTAGAGAAAGTTGGATAACAATGAAGAGGAAGCCGGGCTCAGAACAATGAACTGAAATGAAGTAGTCCAGTTTCTGACCGTATTACACTTGCATATCAATACTCCAAGTACTTTGTGAAGTTGCGTTGTGACAGCAACATGTCTGAAATAGTTTTTTGTACCGTTACTCTGCGTTTGGACTCAGGACCACAGAGACGTTAGAGAGCTGAGCTGCAACAGATGATGGGATTTGTTAGTACGTAAAATTGTAGCTTATTATTATATAACAATAAAGCTACAAGCAGAAATAATCGGTATCCAAGCAGGTCATGAGAAATGCAACATTTTCAGAGAAGAAGAGCAGATGCAGGGACTTCAGAGAGAAGTGATGAAAGAATTTGGACTTGAAGCCTTTTTTGTAGGCAGGTCCTGATCCTGTTTTTTTGTCCCTGGTACTGATCTGAGTCATTTCATATTGAGTATCTCAATCAGATACTTGTATTTTTCCAGCACCACTGTGAGTGTTTATTTTTAGGTGGCTTATGAAATTGGTAGTATTGAATGCAGCTCTTTTAAAGCGAGTAAAGACAACCTGCAAATATTGGGCTTTAATCTGCTTTCCTACAGCGGTATGGACCCAAAATAAACACTTTACTGTGGTTTAATTGTAATAAACGGATCAAAATGATGCCGAAATAACTACATAATGATGCTGATTTGTTTAACATATGAATTCATGCTTTGTCAGGTCTGTCAGCAAGATGACAAGAAAACTACTTTTAAAATGCTTCTTTTCTAAATGGAGTTCAGATCGATCAGGGCTGCGTTATTCTAGATTGTTTCATTGGTAAGTACAACAAAAACAGACATGTTTAGTAAACTTACCAGGAAGTTCAGCTTCCTCTTTAGTTTCTGCAAGCAGTCTCCTGTTTCTGTGGCTCTCTGCAGCAGACAGCTTGAGAAGCGCGAGCCAACTTAAATCCACTTTTTAATCCCCGAGATTAAAATAAAAAGTTCATTTCATCAAAGACATTAACTCTGAGCTCCCTTTCGGTTTCGGTTTAACGAGTGGCCACGTTTGTCGGTAGTGTCCTTCCGTATCGAGGCTTTGAAGCGTGTCTCGAGGCTTGTGTTGGTGACGTGTGTGGTGACGTTCGCAGCCCGCGAGCCGGTTGTACCACGTGACTGATTCAGGATTTGGGTTTGGCGTGCGTTTCGAAAAGAGCAGCAAAAAGGAATGAACCCTCCTCAACATTTTGTGGACTTTTGATTTGATTTTTGATTTTAATTGAACACAATTAGATTGTAGCTACAGCTTATTTTAAATGACAAACATTTGATTACTTATGTCAGAATTGCTTTGGTCAAATAACTTCAAAGATTGTGATGAAACAGGAAATTTTTAGTTGAGTAAGACTAGCGGCAGTAAGAAAGTGTTTTTTGTAAGAATTAAACTGGGGGCTTTTACCCCATATTACCCTAATAATAATTTTCTAGAGCTCCAAAAAAAAGAGACGCCGGAAGCTAAGCACTGTGGAAAAGTTATTTTAAATAAAAATGAATGAAATGTCTGTATTATCTAAAGTCATAAACCAAGTAACACAAGCACATTCACATCATAACCCTCTCCCTTGTTTCCACTTTCCCTTTTGACCCTGTCATTGTATCATACAGACAGACACCTTATTAGTAAGTTAATCATTTATGTATCGGCATCACAAACATCATTCATTAATTTATTCAATTCAAAGCTTTACAAACCAAAGCCATGATGCCATTATAATCACTTTAACTGTTTTACATGTATTGTCCACTTGATGGCACACTAGAGCAAATGAAGCACCATGAAGCTTCGGCCCATGAGTGAACCAATTCAATGGAAAGCTTCAATGCTTCATGAAGCTTCGGCCCATGAGTGAACCAATTCAATGGAAAGCTTCAATGCTTCATGAAGCTTCGGCCCATGAGTGAACCAATTCAATGGAAAGCTTCAATGCTTCATGAAGCTTCGTCTCGCCATCACTAGTGTGAGGAAACGACCATTGAGTCACACTTTGAACTTTGAACACTTTGTCACGGAAAACGCTGAAAACAGGAAGGGGGCCAGTTGATCTTCTTGTGAATTCATCTATGGCGTGTTGCTGCCCTCCACTGCTCGTTATTCTATTCACATCTTAGTTCTTCTTCTATCTTCTTCTTCTTCTTCTCTGGGTTTTATAGCGGGTCGCAACCAACTTGTTCAGGTGCATCCCGCCACCTACTGTACCGGAGTGTGTAATATCAAGGTGTTAGTACTTCAGGTCACAGGTTCAGTGAAGCCAAAAACAAAACTCAACAAAACAAACAAAACAGACTATATGTTATGGTCTAATCCTGTAAATTTGAACAAATTAAAGAGAGCTTTGCAGCACTCCCTTGTTTCCTCACTCATCCCTAAAATCCCTTCTAAATTCCATCCCCGTCCTAATTCATATATCTTGTCACGTAAGATGTTCCTCTCAGATTCATATTTACTACACTTCATGATGACATGCTCGACATTTTCGGGAACGTTACAAACCTCACATTTATCAGACACACATTTGTCATTAAATAAAGCGTTGATTTTAACCCCATATGTCCAAACCTTAATCTTGAAAAAACCACTTCATCTCTTCTGCATTTCCCTTTGAAACCCTTCACCTTAATTGATTTCTGTATGCTGTAATAGTGTCTCCATTTAGTGTCTGTGTCCCACTTCTTCTGCCATACGTCACTCACTGCTTTTCTAATGAATGATTTGGCCTCTCCTTTTCCAAAGAGAACTTTCATTATTTCATCTTTTAATTTCAACGCTGTCTTTGCAATCTCGTCTGCTTTCTCATTCCCATCAACACCAACATGAGCAGGGACACAGATTGCACATCAACTCCAGCTCTTTGTATTCTCAGCATTATTGTACATATTTCAATCAATAGATCATCTCTTACTGTCTTTTTGGAATTCAAACTATACAGGGCTGCAGTGGAGTCTGAAAAATGACAGCTCTCTCAGGCCTCACCTCTTCTATCCACTGTAACCCTAAAATAATAGCAACCATTTCATTCATTAATTATTTTACATATAACTACATCAAACTCAGGTTTGTATGCTCCTGATCCTACATGTTCAGTCCCTGGATCTTTTGATCCGTCAGTAAATAATAGCATATAATTATAATAATTATTCTTCACATAATCTTGAACCAAATATCCAATATTATCCACATTACTTTCACTCCATTCTTTCTTCTTCTCTAGAAGCTTCAAGTCCACATTGGGCACAGGAAATATCCACAGAGGAACATTACCCCATACAGTATTTGGTCCATATTCTATGTTATTTAATCCATATTCTTCTGCTACTGCATTAATATTCCAGCCAAGTCCTTTACCTTTCAGTTGTTGTGTATATTCAGTCACACAGAACCTTTGTTGCAGGTTGTTCCTCTCCAGATCCTTTTAACTTGACCCAATATGCTAAACTTAGAACTTAGACAACTTAGAACATCTCAAATATAATGGCAGTTCATCAGCTTCTACCAGCAGTGCATCAGTAGGGGTTATTTTCACTGCACCTATGCTGAGTCTTAGAGCTCTGAACTGTATTCTGTCTAATTTTTCTAAAATACTCTTGGCTGCTGCTCCATATACCATACATCCATAATCATACATCATAATCAATACACGATTGTATTAAGGCCCTATAAATATCTAGTAGTGATTGTTTATCTGCTCCCCATTGGTAACCAGAAACTGACCTCATGAGATTCAGAACCTTTTTACATTTTGTTTCAACCAATGTTTTTCCCTCTTTTCCATATAGCCCCATCATCTGCATAAAGTGATGACCCAATATCTCTATCAACATTTAAAAAAAAATCATTTATCATGATGTTAAACAAAATAGGGCTTATAGCGCTCCCTTGAGGAATACCATTTTCAATTTCAAAATCCTCCGACAGAGCATCTCCAACTTTAACCCGGAACATTTAGTTAGACAGGAAGTCTAAAACCCAGTTGGATAGTCTTCCGCCAATACCCATTTCATGCATTTTTATCAGTAGTCCTTCTCTCCACATTGAATCATAAGCTTTCTCAATATCATAATATACTACAGCCATGACCTCTTTCATACTAACCGTCTTTTCTGCCTCATTGCTAACTTTAACTAAAGCGTCTACCGTAGATCTTCCTTTACGAAATCCACTTTGGTATTTGTTTAGCGGCCCTCTTTGCTCTAAATAATATGACAATCTACAGACAATTATCTTTTCCATCCATTTACACAAGTGTGATGTTAAGGCTATAGGTCTGTAGTTTCCTGCATTAGTTGTGTCTTTACCAGGTTTACCAAACGGTACTATCAGAGCACTTTTCCAACTATCAGGCATTACACCTTCTCTCCATATCTTATTGAACAGTTTTAGTATAATTTCCAAGACTTCTTTTGGTAATTGTCTAAACATAGCATAGCATAGTTGATCTTGTCTGGTGCTGTATATCCACTTTCCTCTAGGACCATTTTTAACTAATGTAATGAAAAGTCCATGTGAAGTGCCGATACATCACTATCTTTTTTCTTAGTTACACCACTATTTGTTCTTAAAATATCCTTTTTCCGTTGTTTATGCATTTCATCTAAATGACTCCCACTATGTACACTTGCAAACTTCTTACCTAGTAGCTCAGCTTTCTCCTTATTTGTAATTGCCAGGTGTTCTCCATCTATCAGCACTGGGATTTTAAATGATTTTCTTTCCCCACTCATCTTTTTGATCGTTGCCCAAATGTCACCCAATTTAACTTCTCTACCAACGGAGGAGCAGAATTGCCTCCAGGCATTCTTCTTGGATGACTTAAATATTTTCCGTGCCATAGCCCTCTTTCTTTGATAGTCAACCAAGTTATCTTGGCTCAAATGCTTTCTTAAAATTCTGAACGCATGATTGTCTTTTATAGCATTTTTACATTCATCGTTTCACCATGGAACTATTTTCTCATTCACTGTGCTCTTAGGGATGCAGGTTGTTGCAGCACTAATAATCATGGAAGTCACTGCTACTGCGCAGCTATTTACATCACCCTCCACTGATATTCTTTCAGTATACTCAGTTGAAAGTTCTCGGAATTGTTATGAAAACACCATCTCTCTATTACATAACCTTCCTGAACATACATATCAAAGTTCATGGAACACAATATTGGAAAGTGATCACTCCCTATGTTGGTATTGTTCTTTACATTCCATTCACATAAATTACTCATATTTACAGAGACTAATGTAAGATCTATACAAGAAACTGAATTTCTTGTAACATTACCTCTTCCATCATTAAGGCAGGAAAGTGATCTCTCCTCGATGAGTTCTTCAACTACTTCTCCATTAGTGCCTGTATGGTCTCTTCCCCACAGAGTATTGTGAGCATTAAAGTCTCCACACCATATTTCTCTACTATCAACACTTTCTGAGATCTCATGGAATGTTTGCATTGATAAATTTCTTTCACGGATTATAAAAATTGACTACTTTGATATTTCCTCTGGGACTACACATTTCTACTACTACACATTCATAAATAAATGTTACACATCCTCCACCTTGTTTTCCAATTCTGTCACATCTAACCGAGCTGTAGCCTGGTAGGACAAAATCCAAATGTGGTCTTAACCAAGTTTTTTGTATACACATAATATCAGGTCTAACTTCCAGATCAGTTACAACCTTCTTGAACTCTTGTCCATTTGCAATTAAACTTCTGGCATTCCAGTGGAGGATATGAAATACCATAATGAAGCTAATCACCTTGAGACACTCCATCATAATTATTCGGGTTCAACATCTTATGAATCAGTTCAGCTGTAACTTCTGTGATCCCCAGTATCTCTATGGCTGCCTCTACAATTGTTTTGATTCTATCACTTTTTTTCTTCTGCTGTATTGCCACATTTACAGTCTTACAGATGAAAGCAACAAAGTTGGTTTTACCCACAATCAGCGTATCTTCATTAATATCCTTTATCCATGGATTTATTTCTGCTTGCCTCTCACTTGGTGTTGGAGATGAAACCTCAATTACTCATCTGTTCTCAGACTCTTGCTTTATTTACTACTTGTGTAACACTGGATCTGAATAGTTCACTTTCCTTCACTTTTTTGCTGCATCAGCATAAGATACCTGATTAGTTACTTTATATTTCTGCACCTCTCTAGCTTGCCTTTGAACAGGGCATCCTCCAAAAGCACCGCTATGCTCACCGCCGCAATTACAGCATTTCACTTTTGTATCCTGACCACATTTTCCATATTCATGTTCACCTCCACACCTAGCACATCTTTGTTTTCCTTTACATTGTCCAGCAGTCTGGTGTGGTGCTTCTAAGAGCATCTAAGTGGTGCTGGGATAAACTCTCTTACATCATAACTCAGATATCCCATTCTTACTCTCTAAACTCCAGGACTACTGACAGGCTATCAGTTTTCACCCCTTTTCTTTGTGTTTGCAGTCTTGCTCCATTGTCATTGCCAAAGGAACATCATAAATAACACCTCTAAGCTTTGCTGCATTCCCGGGGATATGAGTACTGATCCTTTCCCCATTAAGTGTTTCTGTTTTGAGAAACCTATCTCTTTGCAGTTGGTCTGTAGCAAAGACCAGCAGCCTCCTATTACTCAAATATTTGGCAAACTTGATCTTACCCATTTCTTTCTCAATTGGTTGTTAGTTTCAGTGTCACCAGCTCCCCGTTTCCTTGTCTCCACATCACATTCACACTTTCCATCAGGATGTTTACCAATCAGAGCCACTCCTCAGCCCACAATGCCCAAACCTCAGGCTGGATAAAAAGTACTGCATCTCTTCTCTTACATCTAAAAGCACATTTTTCTTTGTACTGAATAATATGTTCTCCCCTTCCTTTCATGTTCCAATGGATTTTACTGACCTGTTTATTATTTCTGTGTAATCTGGTGACCCATACTGTAAATTCATTTGAACTCTTTCCTCCTGCTCTGCCTTCTTTGCCACCTCATCTGCCTCCTCATTACCCTCCACACCCATGTGAACCCACAGAAACCTGCTTTGTGAATTCTACACAACACAAGTAAATCAGGCCTGGCCTTAGTTTTAGTATCTTTAATCATAATTAGAGTTTCTGCTGAGTCGCTACATATGACTGAATGCTCCTATTTGTTATCTTCAACCCACCTTAATGCCCAGAGAACTGCCACCAGCTGTGAAGACTGACATGTGGTCTGGAATCCTACACCCTTTTATATAACCTATTTCAACCTATTTCCCGTCAGTATAGATTTGTAGGTGGCCTCCCCATGATTGACACATCCAGGCTTTTATCTCCTTTGTTTCTTTCCATAAAATATAAGTCAACAGTGGGATCTGGGATCAACCATGAAGGTATATCTGTACGACATGTTGGCGGACATACATTCAAATTCTCAATACCAATTTCCTCTGCCATAGATTTGAGTTTTTCTGTAAAGTTTGTTTTGACTCTTCTTGCTGTTCCCATACAACTCCTCAACAGGTGAGCTGCCTCAACAGGCTTTTTGTTGGTAGTTTTTCATTCTGTCCTTTTAGTTTCATTAAATACTTCAAACCAAGGTCACGTCTTCTTATTTCTAACAGCATCTTCCCTGTTTCTATTAATACAGCCGAGATTGGGCACAAAACGCCCCACTATGCGCTCTAAGGTCTTTTGGTTGGACTATATCAAGTTGATTAATCAGTGAAGGGGCTGCTGACCCATATACCACACAGCCATAATCCATAGCTGATCTTATCATTGCTCTGTATATCATCATCACAGATTCACATAGATCAGCCCCCAATCAGACCCAGCCACACACCATTATTTCCACACATTTCAAAGAAACCAACTCAATATGCTTTTTCCATGTCATCCTTTCATCCATCCACATTCCTTTTTTCACTTTTAGTCCTATTATATATTTGTAACATCTGTGTTGGCATTTTCTTCTTATGTCCAAATATCATGTATTTGTTTTTTCTGTAGATATTTTAAAGCCTCAATGATCAGCCCGTTCACTTACTTTCTCCAATGCAGCTTGTATTTGGCCAAAAACATATGAGAGGTTCCTCCCTCGCTTCCAGATGGATGCATCATCTGCAAACAATGAGAACCTAAATTCTTTCCCCACTCTTCTAAACATACCATTGACTAGTATATTAAAAATAACTGGGCTTATTACACTACCCTGAGGGGCTCCATTCTCTACCTCAAGCTCCTCTGATGATTCACTTCCCACCTTCACCTGAATTGCCCTGTTACATAAAAAATCTTAATCCAGTTGAACATTCTTCCTCTGATTACAACATCATAAAGTGCAATCAACAACCCCTCCTTCCAAAGCATGTCATATGCTGTTTCAATGTCCAGAAAAACTGCTACAGCTGCTTCTTTAAGTAAAATGTCAATATCTAAATCTAAAACAGCATCCCTGGAATCAGGAAAACATCATGAACTGTGTTTTGGAAAATCAAGTCAGCAGGAAACTCCTACAGACCATTTTCACTAACAGGAACCTTAAACGAAATGAGGAGGATTTAAAAGAAACAGGTTATAACTGACCTGAGAGTTTCCAGTGTACAGCGTGGACTCTGGAGTCCAGCAGACAGCAGCTTCACTCCCGAATCCTGCAGGTTGTTGTTGCACAGGTCCAGCTCTCTCAGAATAGAAGACTTCATGCTGAGAACTGAGGACAGAGCTTTACAGCCTCTCTCTGAGAGGTTACAGCCACTCAACCTGAAAAAGTTTTAAAAGTTTAAAGTTGTACAATTTTAAATTTTCCTGAAATGTGAGAACTCTGGTTTAGTTTCAACGATGGAGAGGACAAATGAAGAGGAACAGTAAACAGTGAACAGTAACGTTACTAAAACAACACAACATCAGCTCTGGTATAGCACCTTCACAACCTAAAACCTCCAGTGTGGGAGCATTTTTCTCTTCACTCAGTCAAAAAGGCTGTGAACTGTAACATCTCAACACCGGAGCATCTGAAGAAGAGGCACGTAACATTGTAGCTCTGTGGACGATGAAGACTCGTCTCCGTAAGCTACTAAGCAAGCTAGCTCCACAATATGTTACTTCGCGTCATGAGCTGTAACGTTTTCTACACAGTTTCCCTTGGTCACTTAATTGTTAATGGCGTTGAGAATAGCAAATGTTCACTTTACAGATGTGCCCTAACTTCATAATCAAACGAGCATTAAAAGATGTATTTTTGAAAGTTGTATTCATTTTATTGTCTTGACTATTAATTAGCACACGCCTTAAACAAGCTCAACTTTTTACTCAAAAGCTGATAGCTAAATGAGAGATATTGTGTAATTTTGCAATTCGTAACTTCGTTAAATGTGCATGTGGTACCTTTTCACCTCAATGATAAAGTGATTCATTTTATTTCAGTTATAAACTCCTGGACTTTGAAGGTTCAGTGTGTAAGATTTAGTGGCATCTAGTGGTGAGGGTTGTGAATTGCAACAATCTTTCCAATCTACCACTGCCCCCTAACCTTTCAAAGAGCATAGGACAGCTACGGTGGCTGACAGTGCACACAAAGTGTCTCTTCTGAGACAGCAGAGAGTGGCCAATCAAGAAATGAGGTATATTTAGGTATATTTATTAAGAAATTATATTTACTAAATTATTCAGTAAAACCATGTGTTATTGTGACTTGGCCACTGACAGACAACATGGAAAATGTAAGCCAGGAGTGTGAAACACTGTCTCTGTTTCTGCACCACAGTCATTATAATAATAATAATCCTTATTTGTAGAGCACTTTTCAAAAACAAGTTACAAAGTTCTTTAACAAGTGTAAAGAATAAAAAACAAATAAAAACAAGAGCATGAAAAATTAATATAAAATTAGTAAAATACAATAAAATAAAAGGGATAAAATAAAGTCAAATAAGATCGGGAAAGGCTCTCCTATAAAAGTATGTTTTAAGAAGGGACTTAAAAGAGTTCACTGACTCAGCCGACCTGATTTCCTCGGGCAGGCTGTTCCAGAGCCTCGGGGCCCTGACAGCAAACGCTCTGTCCCCTTTAGTTTTCAGTCGAGACTCTGGAACAGACAACAGACCTCTGCCCGAGGATCTCAAGGTACGTGCTGGTGCGTATGGGACTAAAAGGTCAGAAATATAACAAGGTGAGAGGCCATGAAGAGCTTTAAAAGTGATCAATAGAATTTTAAAATCAATTCTAAAACATACTGGGAGCCAGTGTAATGAAGCTAAAATAGGAGTAATGTGGTCATATTTCTTTGTTCTGGTTAAAAGCCTGGCAGCTGAGTTCTGGACAGTCTGGAGTCGATCAATAGATTTTTGGGTTAAACAGGTGAAAAGGCTGTTGCAATAATCCAGGCGTGATGAGATGAAGGCGTGTAAAATGGTCTCGGTGTCCTTAAAAGTTAACATAGATCGAATTTTTGCTATATTTCTAAGTTGATAAAAACATGATTGAACAAGCTTTGTGGTGTGCTGCTCGAAATTTAAATTACTATCAAACCAAACACCAAGGTTCTTTGCCACAGGCTTAATGTGATTTACTAGGGAACCAGCAGATGGCAGTATTTGATTTGCCATCTGCTGAGACCCGATGACCAGGATTTCTGTTTTGTCTGAGTTCAGCTGGAGGAAATTATTTGACATCCATTTTTTAACTTCACAAAGGCAGTTGTTAAGTGAACTCAGCATTCCAGGGTCTGTGGATCTGACTGGCAAGTATATTTGTGTGTCATCAGCATAAATATGAAAAGAAATGCCATGTTTATGGATAATATGTCCAAGGGGAAGCAGATACAAGGAAAACAAAATGGGTCCTAAGACCGACCCCTGAGGCACACCATATTTAACTGGACAGAATGAGGAGACATAGTTGTTTACAGACACACAGAATTTCCTATTTGACAGGTAGGATGAAAACCATTCTAGGGCAGTACCAGAGATCCCCACCCAGTGCCTCAGTTTGTCTAACATGATGTTGTGATCAATGGTTTCAAAAGCAGCGCTAAGGTCTAGGAGTACCAGGACTGAGCACATACCTTCATCAGCAGACATTAAAAGGTCATTGGTGACTTTAAGCAGGGCAGTCTCAGTGCTGTGGTACTTCCTAAAACCAGACTGAAACTTTTCAAATAATTTGTTATTTTCCAGCACAGTGAGCAGCTGTTTGGACACAATTCTTTCTAGAATCTTTGCAATAA